TCCACCATGTTTGCAATTTAGCGATTCATGAATCCTAACTCTGAGCAAATTTAAGAACTCTGATCGTAAAATGAAAAAAATGATAATTAAACGTTAGTTTATTGAGCTTATATTTCAATCAGAGGAATGCTTTAAATACAAGCTGAAAAGAAGGGATCAATAACAATGTCTCATGGAAAATTCAGAATAGTTTGATCAAAATTATAGGAATAGCAATATAACAAATTAAAGTTTAAGCTGTTTTTTTTCTTTTGTGTGGGGAGGGGGCTGAAAACATTAACTACTTAATGATAAATGATAATTTAAATGACGATTTTCTTCATTAGATCTGTGAGTCCCAATTTTGGATTCTTTGCAAGATCTTTATTTAATTTATCATTGTCAGGAAAATATGTCCCATATTTTAGTTTTCTAAGAAGAAAATGCTCTCTTAGAAAGTATCAATCAAAAGTAGAAACTACTGAAAGATAGAGGGCACTAAATGCTTTTTTTTATTTATTTCATGAAAATTCAGAATTTCTTAAATCTCAACACCGTCATATTAATTCAGGTGAATCCAAGCCTGGTGGAAGATACGGACAATCTCAGATCTATATTGATGAGTTTCATCTTCTTATCCTCGGAGGTTGCGAGGGTCCGCAGAACTCAGAGCTCGCTGATATCTGGCTTCTAGAGATGAAAGATTCAGGTAAAGAACCCAGAACAATGGGTTTAGCGAAGAGTAATCTCTTACTTGTGACTTGGTAGGTAATTCTCCGTTTTCCGTTTAGGAATGGTAAGAATATCTTAATCTCTTCATGTCTGGGCTGCTATTAGTATTATTTGGGAAGGCAGTCTGGGGTTTCTACTTTTGGTTCCCTGTTAGATTTAAACTTGATTTGATTATTATTATTATTATTATTATTAGCAGATTCAATGAAATAGTGGTCGACGTTCCTTGCCGCCGCAGTGTATACGGAGCTATAGATCATACGTATTAAATTATTTAAAACTTAAGTCTTTTATTAATATCAGCAGCCACTCAATGCTTCTTTACGGAAAGATGTTAAAACTGTAGTGATAATCTTATCTCTAAAGGAAAAGTTTGCCAATAAAAAATGATGAAAAATAAACGTTATCATCAAAGTATTAAAGAGTTTGCCAAAAAATATTATATTTCATGATCAAACATGCAAAAGAGCAAGATCCTTTGAATCCACATAATTTTAGCTTCTTAGCAGGTGGCAAAATAGCAGCTAAAATAAAATATGAAATGGATCCTAAGCTGAGTATAGAAACAGGAACATTGAACAATCATAAAAAAAAGAAAATATGAAATTTTATTAGGCTGCAAATAACTTTTCAATCAATTTAGAAATTTATTTACAAGCATTAAATTAGTTCAAAGCAGAATTTTTTTAGATACTTATTGTTAGGAGAATTAAATAATTTTAAAAATATGTTTTACTTCGAGCGAATATCCAAAAGCGACCCACCCAGAAAAAAAGTTGAATAAGGTTTTTCCGCCCATCTGAGTTCAAATAAATCTGATTTTATAATTCTAAAAATAAAAAGCAATACTTAAGTGAAACAAGTATTTATTCACTTTCCCCTCTTTGCTAGTCACACCATTCAATGAGAATGATTTTTAAAAATAGCTATACAGATGTAGAGATAAGAATATTTATATTGATCAGGGTGGAAGTGGGTAGAGATGAATGTTGAAGGATCAGAACACAGAGGAAAGGATATTTGGAGACATCCTGCTTGCAGGTAACTTTTTTTATTTAGACAATTTATAGCCCTTAGCCCTAGAATGGGGAGGGGGGGATTTGATAAGGAATTCACAGAACAGATTAGAATAGAAAGGAATCGAAACAATCCCTCGGTATGAATTTTGTCAGTCCCTTTCAGCCTGAAAATTTTTAACTCGTGTTCAGTTGTACACCCAATAATAGATGATCACTTCAGTTCACGTACTAACAATATAGATTAAATTAACTTTTATGTCTTAAGAAGAATCATGAACCAGTCTTACTATATTACAGCAGAAAGGATGAGACTTGAGAAACAACAGTCAGAATTTGTTGGATCTTCTTTCATTATTGAATGTTCCTCTGCAGCTTAAAACCTTTTCTTAGCCAAATCATTTAATATAACATTCACGTACTATTGTCAAGATAGAAAAGCCTACTTCAACCTTCAGATCTTCATAGTTAACCCTATCCTGGCTGGGCTATATTTGTCTAATAAAGGCGGGGGGGGGGGGGGGGGGGGGGGGTTCCCTCCCACATGATTTTGCCCTTACGAGTTGATAAAGGGGAGTGTGATACTGTCCTTAGCCCCTTAGCTGTCTCCGAGCCGTTTTACTCTCTAACAAGACTTTAATCAAAGAGTTAATAACAATTTACCCTTCTCAATCCTCATCCTCAATTTTTAATGTTTTGGTATCTTGAGTATTTCAAAAATATTGGTTTTACTGTTTGATTATTTCAAATTAAGTAATATGTTTTTTTAACAAAAAAGTATAAAATTAATTTTTATCGAAGCTTATGCTGAAATGAACTCTGGAATGCATGACAGGTTAGCATAAAAATATGTTCCAGGGCCCAAAAGGTTATATAGCACAAATGTGGGAAGTACACCTGCAGTATGAAAACAATACAACAAAATGGCGGTTTTACACTTTCGAGTTAATTCCTCTCTATACTAATCTATTCTCTTTGTAAGAAATAAGTCTTATTTTGAAAAGGCTTGAAGTTTAGTTAGAAAGGGACATTGAACCCGTGAAGTGTGTTGAGGGCGTTAGGAATAACGAAAAAAATGTACATTGAAAGTCTAGACATTGTTTTGTCTCTAGAGCTGCTAAAGACAGAGTTGTTGTGCTGGGGAAGAGTAAAGTTGTCGCTAAGAAACCTAATCCATCCCTACAGGTATTTTGCCACGAAAGGGTGGTACTCAAAGATTTTTTTCATAATATTGAAAATTTATGCAAGTTTTAAATATGTTTTTTGGTACTTTTGATAATGGTAATTTGAGATTATTAATAAGTAATTTCTTTTAGTTATATTTAGAAAATTAACCACATGCACACAAGGAATGCCGATGTTTAACAGGATTAAATTGTTAATTTCTTTCATTAATATTTTCTGAAGAAACTGTAGCATAGCCATTTTAGGTATATTTATCTGAGATTTTATCAAATTGTTATTAGAAAGAGAAAATCCTGAAAACGAATAGTTTCAATGTGATGGCTGGGGGTTTTGTCACTTGTTTAAAGGATGCAGGTCTGCAGAAGGATCAAGGAGATGATGTCCTTGATGCACTAGGGTTGATAGTCCTAAGCCTAAAACCTCTGTAGAAGAAATTCTGTGGCAGTACAAACTTCGGATTGTAAAATGCATAAACGAAACAAAAAATCTTCAAGATTGTTAAAAGTAAAAAACTTGACGCCCCCCCCCCCTCCCCACAAATTTCGCTGCAAGATGACTTGTCATGTGATGGAGCTCAATAGAAATTTTAAGATATTATTTTTATTCTTAATTTTCTTTGAGGCAATGAGGAAATGATTAGCATTACTCGATATTGTAGACATTTTATTGTTATTTTTTTTAGATTGGATCTTTGAAGTTTAGTAGTGTTCCTGCTCCACATCATGCTACTAGGAACGCCATAGGGAGTGTTCCCCGAAGTTCCAGGAACGTTGTGTACAACAACAGTTCTTCTAGTGAGGAGAATGAACCAACTGAGGGTCGAGGAAGAGAGGACCCGAGGTTTCAGGACGTTAGACGATTTCAGGACGGAGCACGAGGATTAGAGGTGGCAGGACCTAGCCGAGGATTAGACCAAAGATTTGAAGGATTAGAAAGAGAGATATCCCGTGTTCCGGTGAAACCAAGACAGAAAATGATGGAGACTCGACAGCGTCAGCTGGCGTCCTTAAATAAGATGGAGGAGCGGATAAGGAACTCCAGGGTTCCATCCTCTAAACACACTCCGGCCTCTAGTCCTCCAGTACTCTGTCCTAATCACAGGATGGCTCTGAGTGTTCTTGACACCTCCCGAGCAGTTACTCACCATACAGTCAGATGGTTGGAACCTAGTCCTCTTCCCCCTGGTAACCATCTTATATATTAATTGATGTGCTTTCAGCTGGTTCGTTTTTTCCCTACATTTTCTTTTAGGTTTAAAACTTGGCGCAATGTTTAAGTAGCAAATATTTTCTAAATTTTTATTCTAATCATTTGCCTCTCTTAAACGAAGTCAAATTTTGACCCTGGCATAAGATATATGCCAAAAATAAGTCAAAATGAAGCAAAAACGAAATTTTTTAGGATAAAGAATTAAAGATATTGTAAGGTTTAATAAAAGCAAACTTTAACATAATACAGTTTTGAAATCTTTGAAGTTCTTTTGATTTTTTCTGAAAACGACCCAAAACGATTAACAACACTACTTATAATAGTATGTTGAGGCTGTTAGGGGAGAAAAGAAAGAATTGTATGCTGACTTACAAAATAACCCCTAATGAACAACAACGATTAAGTTTAATTAAGATTTTAAATATAAAAGCCATCAGAAAGAAAGACTACATTTTAGCAACATTGTGTGTATTTGTTGTTTAAATTTAAATTGGAAGACCATTCGTCTCCCAATTTGACAGATTTATGGATCCTACTGTACTGTCAACAATCTTTCTCCCTTCAAAACTATTTGATTAAGTCAATACTTTAATTAATAACTGCACAGGTTCTGAGGTTCCTCAGGAGTGTATTCTCTACACCCTAGTGAAGGGAAGAACTGAGCTTATTCTCTTCGGTGGACTCAAGCGGGATATTATTCTCAGGAATAAACATTTTCAAGATTTTAACCGGTTTTGGTCATTCGGAATCATTCATTATTTTATGGAAAGATATGTTTGATATCTTTGAATATGTTTTTTTTCTTCAGTGAGGCGTCTCAATCATCAGTTTCTAATACTCTTCATATCCTCTATCCATACTCCACAAAGATATAGTACGATATCATTTACATTCTCTTCATATACGGAGATCAAGTATTCTTTGTAAAACTACCCCTTATCTTCAACAATTTGCAGTACTGTACATATGTACATGTTTACAATAGAGATATTTAATGCCTTAAGACACAACAAAATTGTTTTATAAAATATAAAATTTACACCGGAAACCTTTTCATAATATATTTCCAAAGTTTGTATGCATCAATTTAAATTCATACTTCCATTTTATTTATCTTGAAGAAGGTGAATACTCGGATAGATTTGTGTCTTAATTTGTAAACAATAGGTTGTTTTTTAACGGTGTAAAACTGATTCCTTTCGATTAATTTGGACTAAAAATTCTACAGAAAGGAAATACCCTCAAACCCTTCCATGTTGTTTGTATTATGTTTGAAACACCACTAAAGAAAATACTTTTTAGATTTTACCGATTAAATTTATGTTTTATTTGTACATGTTGTTTCTCTAATAAAAGTTCTAAATTGTGATCTGTTTCCAAATAATAAATACCTGTGATTAATTGATTTCTTGGTTTTGTTTAAGTTTATCTGTTATATTTAAAAATTCAAGAAACGCGGCATAATTTCAGATTGCGCACTTCTTTCGGCGCGTTGAAGATTTTACGATGTGTCAACATATGTTAATTTCTATTTTCCGATGTGTGTTGGATGATTAAGAACCAGTTAAGTTACTTATTTTAACTATGTAATCATTAAATTATTACCAATACTATATTAACTTTCATAAATTATGGAAAATTATATTTGCATGTTTCCGCAGACGAAAGATGAGTTTTCGGGTGACGGAGTCAGGTGAATGTGTTCGACAACATTTTAACCCAGAAGACGTATCCGATGGTAAACCAAGAGTGCTCAAATTCAGAATGATAAATACAAGAGAGAAAAGCTCAAAGGTCGGGTTTCGTAATTTTGTGGTAATAGGTTCTTATCGGTACACAACAAGAGATGAAAATTTGCAAACACATATTTCTGTTTGTGTTGAGGTGGCTCACCTCGGGGACCTCGGGTCTGTCCTAGTGAAGATTTTTGGACCCCCCTCCCCTCCTATCAATTTTATACATGACCTTAATTAGCATTATTTAGGGTTAGGTTAGGTTAGGACACTTTCTGGGCCGAGCGCTGCGGCTAGGATGGGCTATGGGGCCGAGCGCTGCAGCCACGGGTTATATCCAGAAATCGTTCTCTAGGACGGACCCATTAAACTCGAAGTAAATTTTTTGTTTTTGAATTCGGGAACCTGTTTCGAAAACAGAAAATATTTCGATTAATAATTATTATCTTCAACAGGAGAAGGATCCTGAAAAACACCTTATGCTTAATATACTCGGAGATCTATCCTCAGAAACACTTGTTCTTTTAGGTACATTTGACGTACATTATAACATAAATTTTTTTCCGAAAAATAAAAAAAATAGATGAAGAGTTATTATTTGAGATCTGTTGTATGACAAAACAATCTACTGTATTTTATTGATCATGTTCAGCCATTTTATTCCAGTATTTTTATTCTAGGAAAGACACGAATGGACCAGACTAGAGTAGAGGAGGAACTGAAAAAGAATTTAGAATGGGAGAACTGGAAAAAGGAGAGAAATATAACAGAATGGAAACCAAAGCGAACGCTTCCTATTCTCCCCTCGCCGCACGTGTCTCCAATACAGAAGAAACGATCAGTTTTTAAACCTTCCAAATCCTCCAAATCCTCGAAAGTTCACAAATCCAAAGGACAAGGAATTATCCCCTCCAGTCCCAGAAAGGGAACATCTACAATAATATCATGACCGGCCTTCATTTTATGTCTTAATTTCAACAAGTAAATACACTTCCAGAAATATTTTATTAATTTCTACAGCCGAGGTTTTATACATCTTTTGAATATTTATTTCTGTAACATATACAACATCACACTGATTAGTAACTGCGAGGCAAACTACATATAGTTTTTAGAAGAAAGTGTGCTTTAACATTTTTGAATTTTAATTTTCACTTGAAATTACTCGATCAAACATAAACATCAATTCTTTAACTTATTATTAGATTGAATTTGATAAAATAAGTCGTGAGAAATCAGAATATTATCAAAACATACTAACGTTCCAATTGATAAATTTTCAAAATTCTTTCTCTCAAAAACAATTCTTACTAAACTATCTTAATTCATGTCTACTTATTGAGGTTTTTTTTTCTATTATCATGAGACAATGATATCTTGAGATAATTAAAATCTAGCAGGTCGATCGTATTAAATCGTTACCGTTACTGTTACAAATTGTTACTCTCTTGTATATATTGTATTGATCATATTACGTCACAAGTTATTAGTTTTTATTTCTGTTTCATTTCCAAATTATAGATTTTGATACATTCTAAGATTTTACTCGTTGAAAGGATTCTGAATTTAAGTAATGATTGAGCTAAAGGACTCTCAGTGATTTACAGCGCTTTGTTATTTTTTTTAAATCGGCCGGTGGATTCCTACAGAAAATATAACTAAGAAAATGGCCAATTGTTGTACCATTTAACAAGAAAAAGACTTAAAAATCAGCACAGGTTTAAACTTGGAGTGACAATAATTTATAAAGATGCTGTTTAAAATTAAACAACCTAGAACTTTTTACCGAAGGATCACATTAATCACTCAAAACTAGTTGACTATCTCTTTAAAAGTACCCAAGATGTTCTTGTAAAATTAAGAGATTGAAACTTGTATTGTAACCAGAATCATGGCAAGAAACCTGTCCTAAATATGTTATTAATATGTTCTCAAATACTAAAAATATAATTTGTTAACAAAGAAATGTAGTTTGTATATTTTCAGATAAATTATCCAGACAATGGAGTGCGGTCCTCAACTCAAACCCGAGGAACCTGAGTACCCAGATATTCCAAAGGTATCGTATAGGCTCGGAGTTCAGACCAGATNGTATTGGCCTTTGTACAGTTTTATTCGCTGAACTGGGGAAACAATTAAATAACTATTACAGTCCATTTAACCAGCTACTGAGCAGTCCTGTGGCAAGTCCTAAACGTGACATAAAGTGTGTGAAAATTCTTCCTTACACCTATCACACCTCTATCTGATCTATTTATACCTTTTTTCTATATATTTTCATATTCTTAGGCACGTATTAGAGAAGTAGATTGTAAGCAGGGAGCAATCAGATGTGTTAGGTTTGTGATTTTATTAAACATATATATATATATTTTTTTTAATTGCTCGACTGCTTGTATCCGATAAACCCCAAAACGGCTGAACCAATCCGGCCCAATTTTTGTAGAAACTCACATGATCGAAGGAAAGGTTTATGACTGGTCGAAATGGAAAACTTATGAAAATTGAGAAATACAAAGATATTACAAGATAAAAGCCAAGTGGATTGTAATTTGTGATAGACCATTTTTTAATTATCGTTGAAATTTTAAAATGCTTAGTTATACGGAGAACACAAAAGACTTGAAAAACCAAGTTTACAACCACAAAACTGTGTTTTAATTGCATCCCGATTCACAAGAGTACACTTTAAACCTGGATCGGAGCAATGAGAAGAAAGATTTCGCCCTTTTTTATTTTAATGTGTGTTGAGTTCTGTCAATTTCCTTGTTTCTCTCTGCTGTCTGAGGCAGTTAAGGGGTTCATGACCCTTGATGCTTTTAAAAACAGTTATGACGAGCATAACAATGCACCCATGGATCCAGAATAATAAATAATGACCTGAGCTGACCCGCAACAACATTCTTGCATTATGCAGACCCTTGGTGGAGAAACCACCAACGTATCAATGTATTATAAATCAGTTTCTAAAAAAAGAATATCTTCATAATTTTTACTTAGATGGATTTTTGAAGGGTACCGTCGTGAAGAGGGAGGGAACCCCCGGACGCTATGAGCCCCTGATATGCAGACATGAGCCTCCGCTATGCAGACATGAGCCTCCGCTATGCAGACATGAGCCTCCCAGATTTGCTAGGCAGACCGAGCCTCCGCTATGCAGAAATGAGCATGCGCAATACATCAAAATGTGCCTGTGCAATGCAGGAAGTTCTTTTAAACTAGTGTTTTAAGTTTAAATAAAAGATTTTTTCGACACAGTGGCATTAGAGGTTTCTCAAAGATGAGAAGTATTTATCAATTATCATAAATAGTGCCTAATTATGACTAATAAAGTGGTGAAAAACACTTTAAACATTTTTTTTACATGAAAAGGAAAATATTTAGAGAAAAAAAATGGATTTTAATTTCATTTTATCTTTATAATCTTTGATTTAAACAATACCTTATTTTGTTGTTCAAATTTCATCTAGAAAATTTGTAAAATTTATTTAAATCTTAACATTTATTCAATAAAAGGTTTTGTTTAAATCAACGATTACAACAAAACAAACTAAGTTTACTCTAGAAATATTTCTCCAAATATCTTCTGCCTAAGAAATGTTTAAAGTTTTACTATAAATCTTATAAACCACTTTATGAGTCCATATATGTTTCTAATCATGACATTCAATTAATAACTCTAATCTTTAGTAAAACTCTTATGCCACTACATCATAAAAATTGTTCAATAAAAACCTAGATTTAAAAAAAGCTGTGTTGTATGGTGGAGGCTCGTTTAATGCAAAGCGGAGGCACGGTCTGCATAGTGGAGGCTTGGTCTGCATAGTGGAGGCTCGGTCTGCCTTCTCAAATCTGGGAGGCTCGTGTCTGCACAGTGGAGGCTTATTACGTCCGGGTGTTCCCTCCCTCTCGTGAAAAGGGCTTACACATCTGTCTAAGAGGGTTATTTGAAAATACGACAGTCTTTAAGTAGACGAAGATTATTACTTTTAATGAATGGTTCCGTCCAGGTTTTCTGTTGATGGTAACTACTGTATGACTGGCGGAGCAGATAAATCATTAAAGCTGTGGAATCCAAACCGAGGGAGTTTACTGAAAACATATATGGGACACGGTTACGAGGTGAGCTTAATTTCTATTCATAGGATTTAAATAATGTCGTCTTTCTTGAGCATTTAAGAGTTTTCCTGTACTCTCTGTTCGCTTTGTACTCTTTCGATACTGCGTATTATAGTTACTCTCTGCTCTCTTTTAGTTCTCTTTTCCCACTGATCTCTTAGTACCCGTTCTCTCTGTACCTGTACTCTCTGTATCTGTTCTGTAACTATTCTCCCAGTACCTGTATCTGAACCTGTTCTTTCAGTGCAGGTCTACTTTCTGTATTCTTTCTCTTTGTAACCGTTTTTTGTACTTTCTGTTTTTCTTCTCTGTACTAATTGTATTCTTATTGCTCTCCAACAGAATAATACTTTCTGTTCTCTTATTTAATACTTTGTATCAATTTTTAAATTCATAATAGCTAGATTCAAATTCGAATTCCTTTTCGGATCAGTGTTTTATTTACTTAGATTTTGTTAATACATGATGTACTCATTTTTCTTTATTATTCACTATTCTATAGTACTCTGTACTAGATTTTGGATTGTCAGGGTTCCTGTGATAACTCTCAACTAGTTTCCTGTTCTATGGATAAATCTGTTGTACTATGGGACGTAACAAGTGGAAACTTTACAAGAAAATGGCGTGGACACCAGGTAATCAATTTATTTGTTTTCTATCAGTAATGGGTTATCAACCCAGTGCGAAATCCTTAATACTTCCCCATTTCTAGGTCTTACTACTCTTTTTAATCCTCCCCCTCCTTGATTCTCCCCTTTTCCTTAATCCTCCTTATTATTACTGGCCTCCCACCCTTTCCGTGATCTGCTTTCCCCCTACCTTGATCTCCCCCCCCCCCCCTCCTTGAACCCAGTAAATAACAAATCTGAAGTTAAATTATTAAAATACGCAAAAAAAAGCATGCGCTTTTTATTTTTACCACAAATTGCAATATAAACCATACCAAAAATATAGATTAGAATTAAAAGTCAAAATATTAATTTCTCTATCAATGCTGCAAGATGATTTAGTGAACTCTTGTTTCTTTTAGGCTTCAGTGAACTGTGTACGGTTCAATGAAGAGTGCACAGTTGTTATGAGTGGTTCTGTGGATACCTGTGTTAAGATCTGGGATACCAAATCTAGAAGCCAGGAACCAATACAGACTTTAGAGGACTCAAAGGTTTGTTGGGAGTTTGGTGGCCAGAATGGATGACATTCTTTTATATAACATATTTAAAAAAATCTTTTCTTCTAAAAAGTTAATTATGTAAAGATTTTTTATATTTCTTAATTTAAATCCTAATGCACAGTTTTGAATTAAGTTGAAATTAACATTTATTAACAATATTAACAAGCATGTTTTGTAGGACAACGTGTTTTGTAGGATAATGTAACAAGTATGTTTTGTAGGACAACGTAACAAGTATGTTTTGTAGGACAATATTAACAAGCATGTTTTGTTGGACAACGTAACAAGTATGTTTTGTAGGATAATTTAATAAGCATGATCTGTAAAATAATGTAACAAGTATGTTTTGTATATGTAGGATAATGAAAAAAGTATGTTTTGAAATGACGAATGTAAAAAGTATGTATTGTAGGACAATGTAACAAGTATGATTTGTAGGACAATGTAACAAGTATGTTTTGTAGGACAATGTAACAAGTATGTTTTGTAGGACAATGTAACAAGTATGTTTTGTAGGACAACGTAACAAGTATGGATGTAAGTGATCATGAGATCCTTGTGGGAAGTGCTGACAAGCATTTTAGAAACTATGATCTCAGAATGGGAAGTGTAGGTTAGAATTTTTTCAAATTAAAAACAAATCAAATTTATAAAAAAAATAGCGTGTTAATTGTGAATTGAATTATGCAATCGTGGGGTTTAGTTGATTTTAATTTTTTTGTGCATTTCCGTTATTTAGAATAACTTTCTTTATAGAAAACGAAAATTTTACTTCGTAATAAGTTTTCTTTAATTTGGTTTTATGGCGTAAAAATATAAACTGACGCTGGAATGGATATTTTCAAGATTGGGGGCTTTTGGATCTATTACCATACGTTTCCTTAATAAGCTTGCTCTATTACCATGTTTCCTTAATAAGCTTGCTTTTACTTAAACCTTTCATAAATAAGAAGATAAAAAGAGAAATAAGTTAATTTCTATTAAGTGAGTGATTATGTTGGTGACACTGTATCCTGTGTTCGGTTTACTAGAGACGGGCAGTGTATCCTTGTATCCGCTGTATCCAGCTCACTTAAACTATTTGATAAAACTACAGGAGAGATGCTCCAGGAGTTCATGGGACATATTAATAAGGATTACAGGTACATTGTGCTAAGTGAACGTTTTTTTTGCGGATTTTTAAAATTGTGACATTACTATTTCATATTTTGGGATCAATTAGTACTTTGATATTAAATTCGCTGCATATAAACTTTTTAAAGAAATTTATGTATTAGCTACTGCATATTTTTATATGGCCCCAAAGCCACATCCGCCCCCCCCCCTGTATACGCCTCGCCGGCAATGCATCTGATAACAGATAATTATTCAGGTTGGAATGTTGTATGGATTTCTCCGATAAATACGTTCTGTCCGGAAGCGAAAATGCTCAGGTAAAAAAGAACTGCGTTTACATTATTTTTCTTTCCTTTAAATGTGCTTAATACTAATAAAAATAGGAAATATATATGCTTATATTTAAAATTCGGTGATGGTGAGTAAAAAAAGTAGATGTTAGTTCCACATTTAATTAAAATATATTTCGGTCTGGGTTGACCCTCGTCACTTCTAACGATATAATAACCATAAAAATCGATAAAATTTTTTTATTTTTTTTAAAACCACAAGAAAATGAACAAACAAAAAAGATTATGTAAAAACAAATTTTGGGCTGTCAACTGGACAAAAGGAAAACGAACTCAGATTATGAGATTGAAAAAAGATAATTTGAAAATATTTACTTTTCAGAAAATGTTTTAATACAATTATTATTCATTGAGATTGTTTCTGTCAGGAAGATTAAAAACAAACTGTTTATATGTATGTGTATAACGTGGTGGTGGGGGTCGATCTAATTAGCGAACTTATAATACGAAAATGTGTGAAAAATTATGACAAAAATTAAAAACAAGTAGTAAACATTGCCCTTAGTAATTAATTTAATAACAACAAGTTAATACCTCAGTTAATTTAAGAATTTGTGATATTTACATCGTTCATAACAGTGAAATCTGTGCAACCAGTTTACTCATTTTTATATCATAACTCGCTATTAAATAATCAGTTTGGGTTAACAATAAGTAATAAACCAGGAATTTTATACCAATCGTTCACAATTCGATGTGGAGAGTTGGTTGATCTCCGGTCGGAACATTTTTATAAAATACCATTTTCCACAGCGGAAACTCGCAATTTGAATCAATTAAGTAGAAAACAACTTACCGTTGTTTCACTATCTTATTGGCTGAGATAAGTTTTTTCGGGTTTCCGTTTCCTTGGACCCTTAGACATACTGAAAAGAACTACAACCGTTACGGATTATTGCTTTCTGAAATAAGGTAACAGTACATAAATTCCTATTTCTGTTCTACTTTTGGCACTTAAACTATTAGATTTCCCATTAAGGTATATATCTGGGACCTTGTAGAGGGAGGCTGTGTCGCTAAACTTGATCATCTGAACCTGGGAGCAGTCCACTCCCTCGCCCCACACCCGAGCACAGCTCAGCTCCTGACAGGAGCTCAGGGCACCCTCACAGTCTGGGATACAGGAGAGGAGGAAGAAGAGATGGAACAGGAACCTGTACTCTCATCATCATCAGGGACTAAACATATTCATAATCAAGTTGGAATTTTTTTCTTTCAGGGGAAATAATTTTTAAAGCTTCAAAATCGAGTAAAAATGTTAACAATACCCCCAAAACTTCTTGATTCAATTGTAATGCACTTTTTAAAAATAGGAAAATAATTGCCTGTACTCGTTCTAATTAATCACTTATTAAACTTGGCAAACGTTAACAATTTTTTAAAAAGATGTCCCATTAGCAGAGAACCAAACTTGCAAATTATTATCTTCAGTTTTCCAAAACGGTTTCCATTTTTATTTTTACCTTCTGTAATATGTTTATTCGTGTAGTGTATGATAGTAAACCCCACTGGATGTAGCGAGATGTCGAGTAAAAAAGAAGAGAGAAATTCACACTAAAAATACATTCTTTGCCGCTGCTCAGTGTATTCATGCAGGAAGAAAACTAGAATTGTTCAGGGTCGTCCCGGGCAATAAGAAATAATCAATCAATATTATTATTTCAAAACATCTGATAAACGAAGCGTTTGAAAACACTTATTTTTAATTATTTCTTCGCATTTCAGAGACGCAAACAATTTACAATGTGTGAGGTGACCCAAGTTAAGATGAACAGAGACAGAACCTTGATGGACCCTGACTTTTCAGGTGACATAAAAAGAAAAATTGACCTATACTTCAACTGAAGCATGTCAGGTTGTGTTCAGACAAAAGATCTTGTACGACTCTTCTGCCTTCATAGCAAGAGTGACCTATCGTTGTCCGATTCACAACGGTACCCTTTAAACCTTTTTTGAATAATTTTAAGGAAGATATCGTCATTTATCATTCTACAACGTGTAAAATCACAATTTCCTTTATTATCTCTGCATATGCAAGAGTCCAGTGCTCAGGGTCCGGATCCGTTGGATCCGCATGATTTTGGCTTCCTGGATCCGGATCCGCAAAAATATGCGGATCTACGGATCCGGATCCAAGGGACAAAATATCAACCAAAAACTGAAAAAAAAAATTTTACTTTCAAACCCCAAATCTAATCTATTAAAAAATAGAGATTATAAAAACTTTCTGATTTCTGAATGGTTCATCAAGTTTTAGCATAAAAATAAGCGAAAAAAAATAAGACTTTGAAAATTCTGCTTTGTTAAAAAATTCATTAAAAAAGAAATAACCTGGATCTTGAATTGGATCTATTTTTTTCCACTGCGGATCCAGGATACGGATCCGTATCAAAATTGATTTGATCCTAAGCACTGTGCAAGACATTGTCACAGTTATATTTCAAGTTAGAAATTTCAAAAGATTGTTTTAAATGTTGATTTTCTCATTTGTCTTTCTCTAGGATATAAGCTGAGTCTGGAGGGATTGGCAGTTACCAGAACTAGCCTTGTACATGGACCTGTACATACATTACCGACAGCAGACATGTACAGTTTTCTACACGCTAAGGTATTGAGGACAAAATTAAAATTCTAAATGTTGGGAAAGATGGTGCGGCGGGGAAATGGAAGTGGGATTTGGACTGTGATTGGGAGTGGGATTGGGAGTGGTATGGCAGTAGGAATGGGAGTGCAAAGTAAAATGATTTAATAGAATCGTAATTTCTTAAAATTCAGAATTTTTTAGATGTTTGGGGAGCACAACCATCTTGTTCTCGACACTTTTAACGAGAATATTGTTTATTTTATCAGGTAAAACATCATTTCTCTCATTAAATAACGCAATTACGCCATAACGCCAACACTTTTATGAAAAATAAAAACTGGAAATAAAACTAGAAGCCAACTTTTTTTTTCAGTGGGAACGGCTCAGTGTATTCCGTAGGAGAGGATGGAACTCAGACGGAGGTTTGGAACCTACCGGAGTCTGGTAAGGACCGGAGCTACAACCCTGCTCTGGTATTTGCCTCAGAGAATCTGGCAATTCTCTCCGACGGGACGGAAACACTGTTTATACTGGAGACTGGGGATAGAAAGTAAGATTGAAATTTTCATAAACATTTAGTTTTAAACTGTCCAATATATTTTCAAGTAAAGGCATTGTAGTTGTTATTTAAAATGATCTTCCTCAATTTTAAGAGTGACATGTTAGAGTATTGTAAGGGTATAGTTGTGGATTCGAATATGCCACTCTAAAAATAGATCAAGGAAAATAAGTTGACAATAAGGTTGGGTTGGCGACTATAAATGAATCACAAAACAAGTATAAAGGGGGGTTTGATGAAGGTTCCATTCCATGAAGGCCCCGGGACATCTATTTATACCAAAGTGTTTTTAATAACAAAATTTTAGAATTAAATTTTACTTCATTTAGGTTGGGAGGTAAGTGGAAAGCTGTGTTTCATGATGCAGTTTGTGGGAAGGATCGTTCATTTGAGGCTAGATATGGAGTACTACAGGCAGAAGGTTCGGAACTAGAGGTGGTTCTGCAGTATGTCGAAGAGAAGGAAAAGATGGACGGAGCGGAGATGCTCCCTAAATCCTCCGGAGAGTCCTCGTTCTTTAACGTTTTGGAGTGGATCAGCTTCTCTAGAGTAGAGAAAGGTATTGAAATAATCTCCAAGTTCAAGAAGCATTTCAATAGTTACTCTTGTTTCCAAAAAAAAGAATCATTAGTCTCAGTTTAAGGGCTTATTGATTATAGCAATTCTATTTCCATAGCGGCTGAGGGTGGTTATTTAGCTTAATATATATCAGTGATATTTTCTTAAAGAACATTTTTCTCCCCTTGTGGCACCCTCTTTTTGAAAAATACCCCTCCCCCCCTCATACCTCTAGTTTATTAAGAATGTTTGCGCAGAGATTAATATTTCTTGTACGTTTGAAAATCATTCGCCCCTGGGCCGAAAGGAGAAAGGGGTCTTGTGATAAATCCTTGAATTTTATTTTTTTGTTAAGACAAAAGTTGGATGATGGAGCGAGTACGACGTGTAATAAGTCACGGTGGATTCAACTACGTGAGTATAACCGGTTCCAACCTTGCTGTGTCGGCGGAGAAGAAAACTATCCTGGCCTTTGACTCTCTCCACCCAGTGGAACACCTCAACCTGGAGAAGGAGGAGAAGAAGGATGAACCCCCGCATTTCTACTGGAAGCAGACGGATAAGGATATAGAGATGTGGTTCTACGTTATCTCGGACACAACGAAGAACCTGATTAATATAGAGGTAAAGGAGGATGTTCTCGAAGTTAAACTTCATGGTAGTGATCTGCTCCGAGGGCAGTTTGAAGGGAAGATAGAGAAGGATAGCTGGACCTGGACCCTGGAAAACGGGAAGGTTGGAATATTAATGACAAAACAAACTCCAGGTATTAGAAATTACTGGTGTAAGGTTATTATGTATAGGGGGAAGGGGGGGGGGGGGTTAGTCCCACTTTTTAATTAATCTTTTTAAAATATCTGTGTTTACTGCTCAATAATCATATTCTTTTTACTTCATGAATTAAGTAAACCATTATCCTTCCTTTCACAAATTCTGGACTTTTAAACTTTCCACAATGTTGTTACTTGCTTCCCTTGGTTTAAATAAATTCATCATTGTATGAAAACCTCAAAATCTAACCAGTCAAACTCCGTCCCGAGCTTCAGTCTCATATTGTATTGTATGCGTAGGTCTCTGGAGTAAGGTTTGGGGAGTGGAAGGAGGAGCTCGAGGTCTGGAGGTTACAGATACATCAGCAGACACGGTTCTACCTCATCTTACAACAGATAATCCTATCTGTACTGGAGAACCTTCCGGAGAACCAGCATTTAACGCTCAGGTAGAAAAATACAATTTAAATTTTTATAGTGAATACATTTATGTGTTCTTTTATTTATGATCAAAACTAACATAAAACTAATTCCGGCATCTATTTTTTAATTGTAAGTAAATATTTACCATCTATTTTAATGATCAATATCCCATTAGTTAATTTTTTTAAAAATAATTTGCGTTAATCCTCGGCTTGAAATTGAACGACGTAGAAAATTGACGCCGCTAGAGAGTTTATATGATACACATTTTTCCAGGAGTTGGAGAGTGTAGACGACTGTATGGATGAGAACTCTATGTTAATTTGGCAGTCTGGAGCAGGTTCCCAACATGTAGCTAGCCTAGCAGGTCAGCAGCATCTACTGGTCGTACAGCAGCTTGGGTCAACTCCTCCAGCTCTATGTGTCAGGTTAGTAAAGAATTTTAATCTGTTCTAGTTTCTTTTTTTGGGACAATAAGCACCAACAAAATTTAAGATAGAAAAAAAACAGACAGGCCAAATTAAAAAAAAAAGCAAATGTCGAAAAATAAAAACAGAAAAAATAATGAAAAAAAAAATTCGACCAAAAAAAGAAGAAAATGTCCTTATATCATGACAACAATCTGAAATTTTCTTATATATTCCGCCAGAAGTCCTAAAAATGATCATAACATAAACAACATTAACATCAACAAGGGATGTAAATTTATGAAAAATTGAATCCCCTCCCCCACCCCGTCCTTTATTCCCCATACTGTTACTTTCCACACTAAAAGTTTTCCTTGGGGGGTTAATTATAAATAGTTTAATACAAGGTTTGGCACAACTCTATTTTTGAACCATATTTACAAATAAGCATTCTTACTAATTGAACCGCGTAGACGTAGTACAACCACTTCTCTCCAGATAGAACCGACACACTAGAGAAGTGGTTCAACTAATTCTACTTGGTTCAATTACGTTCGTTAATCATTAAATCTGGTCCTAGGTCACTTTTGCATTTAAATAAGTATTTAATATTTAGATATGACGTAGATGGTTTTGTTTGGAAGATTTCAGATTCTCAGTTGGAACACGTTGCTTCCTTTCCTGCTCTGGGTTATGTTCAGGTACTCATCTCTAAACTACATTGTGTTCTCCCCCCCCCCCCCCCCCCCCCCCGTCTTGGGGGGGGGGGGGGGCACCGACTAGATTTTTATTGACACTCAGCCAACTCATCTATCGAAACCTTGATTCCATACAGTACGCATACTGCAGGGTCTGCAGGATTTTGTTTTAAACTTCGATTTTGGCATATATTGACATCATATATTTAAGGCATTTTGCTTGCATACACATCAATTCTAAATTATCTGAGAGATTATAGATAGATATTTGCTCCCTAAAATGTAAACAAAAATATGAAAGTAAAAAAAGGAAGCACTGGTAAAATAACTTATTTTTTAAGAATACGTACACAAACAACCCCATTATCTTTAAAATTTTACAGTTTTGCCCAGCTTGTCTTCTGTACTCAGTAGTCAGTTCACTGAACCTTTATCAATATCTACTCAGTGGGGGTGGGTAAATTTGGGGACGGATGTAAAATTGGGACGTTATTATCTCTGAAATTTTGGGTAGACAAGCCCCCCTCCCAAAAAGTTTTGGTCGAAATTAGGTAAAGGGACAAAATTTCGTTAATTTTATTCACCGACTATAATTTAAAAGAAAACTGGATTTATAATAGTAATAGTATAATAGTAATAGGCAAATATATACATTTTAAACAAATAACGGGTATGATTAATGATTATAGATCTGTGGCCGCAGCGCTTGGCCCCTAGCCTGTCCCAGTCCAGGCGCTTGGCCCTGATTCGTAACCGCAGTACTCTGCCTCTATCTTTTTCTAGATCCCGCGTTCGGCTCAGAAATTTGTGTAATTAATCTATCTAGAATATGGGTTAATAATATCTTATGATTAACGTTATAGCCACAGCGCTCGGCCCGGCCCCTTAGACCCGAGAAATTCTCTTTACACAAAACTAAGTTAAAAGCTGTCCTTCTGTCGGTTGACTCTTTGTTGCGTTTTTTTCCTGTGCGTCGTTTGATCCTAGGGTGTGTTAACCCACGATTTTTAATATTGAATTTAAAATTATTTAAAAGTTTGTCAAAGATTGGCAAGTAATGTTAAATATTTTCTTTCAAGGGGAAATGTGTTTTAAATTAACCCCCACCCCCCCTTTACTTAATATAATTTAATGAGCTTCCCTTCAGTTTTGAACCATTCAAGATGACATATTTTATATTCCCCACTCATGCCACCTCTATTCTTTATTATATCTTTGTTCTTGTATTGTCCCTAAGTCTAAGAGAAAGTCTAATCAAAATAATGAATACAGCTCTGCAAATGATGGGTAATAATTATTCACAACTACTGCACTCACTCTACAGGGAAGTTAAGGGAATTTTACTTTACCAATGGTTCCCAATACCAATTTTTCTGCAAAACATCCAGAGTGTAGCGAGGTATGTTTTGTGGACAAAATTGGTCGAGGGAACCTGGGGCCGTGGTTAAGTAAAATTTTTAATTTCCCGTTAAAGTAGTTCTACACAATTTTATCGTATTTTGAGATGAAAATGCCCGAATTCTCCCCGAAAACTTCGCAGTACGGTTGTTTATTAAACATAATTCTGTCCCAAGTGACATTAAATAACCTAATCTCCTTCTATTGGGGGAATCATAGGTCGGTAATGTTGGTCTAAAGGAGATCAAATTAGTTTTTGTCCCATCTTAGTGTTTTTTTTGCATATTTATATTTTGTTATATTTTGTTTTCTTGCCCCTTAAAATTTGATTTGATTTTATTTGCCTCGGATATAATTTATCTTTATATCCTATTGTTATGTTTTTCCTTTTATTGTAGCATCTTTTTTTACTGTTGCACCTGTTCTGTTATTGTTGCATCCTATTTTATAATATAATGTTTTCTTGTAGTTATGGTTACTGGCATCCTTAAAACAACAAGTTCTAGTTATTTATCTTAGCGTAACATTTGTTTCTTGTAATAATTTCCGCTTTTTATGTTACCTAGCATGCCACCATTTTCCTTATTTTCTTCAAAAATTTAAAGATGAAATTATTCGAAATTTCGCACTTTTTACATTTTCGATTTTTTATCCATTTTAAATTTTTTTCTTTCTTGGGGGTGGGGGCTCAGAAGTTGGCACCTGTTCGGGCCCAATTACCCCCCTTTTTAACCAAACATTTTAACTGACCTCGGGGGATGAGCCCCTATAGCCCCCTATGAATACACCTCGTGTTTATAATGAAGGGTTGTTTTTCCTTGCTTAGCTATTCATAACATATTGGCATTGGTTTTTAATTCTTAAAGATAATTTCCATCTTGTTCTAGAAAACTTCTAAATGTGAATTGACTAAAAATGTGCGAAAGAAAAGAGTGAGTGAAGGATCGTGATGGCATACCCCAGTTAGATCAAGGAGTCCATGGGACCTACCTAGTTTCCTGAATTGAATTGAACAGAATCAAAATTCAGGATTCCGCACAAATGAAGATTTCTACACAAAGAACGTCAAACCGGAAATATCAACTAACAGCAACGTTTTGGAACCTAATACAGCTCTGTGGTTCAAGGTAGGAATTTTACATATAATAATAGGATCATGGATCATTATAATTTCTTCTTGACAATATTTATTTTCCATCCCTTCGCCCCTAAAATGTCAACACCCGTTAAAATTATCTAAAAACCATGCATAAAATCTAAGTGTGGGGGGGGGGGCTTATATTCCTGCAAAACACCCAACTGTACTGAACTATTTCCAGCCTTTTTGAAAATATTGTCGGAACAATTTCCTACATTAATAGTAAAAAGAATGATGTTTCTTATATTAAAGGATGGTATTTTGAGGTCTAAATATTTATTTCGTAAAGTTACTTTTAAAGTACTAACTTATCATTAGTTATCACAATTTATCAATACTTGTTTGTGAGGTAAAGTTAATTTCCCCCTGGTTTCTTTCTATATTCTGACTCTGTGAAAATATCCCACCTTTTCTTGATATTTTATCCGCAGAATGACCAGCCTGCCATTTTTAAAGCCAATTTTTCATGCGCTCATCTGGAATTATAAGTTTTTGAGCGATCAAAAGACCTAAATAATATAATATTAAAATCTTTATACAATAATGATCTACATACTTATGTTTAAATATATCCTTCCTAGAATTTGCCAATCTAGAAAAAAGGTTAGAGTTTAAAATATTTGGATTTTTCTTTTGTTAAGTTTTTAATCAGTTTAAAATTAATGCATAATAAGGAATCTTTAGTTTGTTTGAACAGTATTAAAATGCAGAGGATCTTTAATTTTTTTAGAACATTAATACATAATCACACAAGGACTTACGTTGGCAACATCCAGGCTAGACTTCTCCTGTTAATGATGCTTTTCTTGTTTAGTGGAGTCCTTGATCCTTGGTTAGTTGAGTCCTTGATCCTTGATTAGTTGAGTACTTGATCCTTGACTAGTTGAATCCTTGATCCGTTTATAGGTGGATCCCGAATCCTTTCTCAGTTGAGTCCTTGATCCTTCTTGTTTAAATACCGATCAGTCCTCATTATCACTTTAACCTGCACAGTTTTTAAAATGTTTAATTTTTTTTGCCTTTTTCGGACTATGCTCAAATTTTAATGCTCAAATTTACTCTATTTTATCAATGTTTATAAAAGTTATTTTTGACCTTTAAGGTTGGAAGAATATCCAAAACTTATGCCGATTATCCTTGCATAATCACTCTGAAACATTAATACTTAAAATATTTAAGAATAAAATAAGTTTTTTACTTCTAGTTTTAAAAATTGTGAGTGGTGAATCACAAAAAGGTTCTTCAAAGTTCCAAGAGCTCATCAGTGTCTGGTTGTTCTATCACATGTTTCTGTTCACTTCACCTTAACATGGGGTTTATTATTTTTACAGACTCATATCTGGAAACATCATCAGGATATTTGAGCAAGCAAAGCGATGCATGAACAGAATGACAATACAAGGTTTTCTATTTTTTGTACATATTTTGTAAATTTAAATTTTGGCCGAATTTTGGAACATTTAAACCATTATTTGTATTCAACCTCATTTGGAAATATAGAACAATTTGAACTAAAGCATAATTCACTTAAAAGTTAATTCCATGAATATTTTTTTTTATTTAAAGTTACCCACTGCATTTTTTAAAATCTGTTTTATATTATTCAAGATGACATTTAGTTTCCTGCACTTCAAATTAACAAATTTGTCCTTTTCTTGTTAAATTCAATCACAAGAAGAAATAGAATTAAAACTTGATATTTATATGTCAGGGTAAAGTTGATTTTTCTTGGACAAATGTTTTAGATGTTGGTAAGTTGGGCTCTACATAATTCATGATTGCTAGGGTAGCCCTTAAAACACAAAGTTAGCATGATTCATTTTTGTGTCCAGAATGAAGTAAAATTTAATCATAGGAACTAAGGGAAAATAAATTATGAATTTGGTTAATTAACTACAGGGTGTCCCAAAAAACATGGGAATTCAGTGACGAATTCGATATCGTCTTTTCAAATAATTCTTCGATTTTGTATAGTGATACCTACTGAGAAAGCTGTAATCTGTAAGAGTTTCGTCTGCTATGTTTACATTTTGTTTGTTTATGTTTTGACTGCAACCGGTTGTACTTAGTAAAACAAGAAAATTACAGTATACAAACAGAGTGAACTTGTCCGTATTCACTGTACATCTTGCGGAGACATTATAGACACATCTTTGCAGTCTTTTACCCTTTTCATAAAATAAACTCTAGCAGACATAATAATATTATGGCTTTTGAAATTAGGTATTACAATGCTAATTCATAACAAAGACGATATCGAATTCGTCACTGAATTCCCATGTTTTTTGGGACACCCTGTACCTCCCATGTAGGTTTTGACTTGTAGATATGCGAGGATGCATGATTAATTGTACAAATTTCGCACATTTTATTGAGTTGTCAATTTTTATCTATAACAAAATTGACGACAAAAATAATAAAAAACAATATATGAATCGAATCAAATCAAATAAAAACACATGGGTAGGGATGGGATTTAGGGTGTCCACAAAACAGTCGATTCTCTTGCACAAGAGCGCAATTATTTTTGTATCAATACAAAACCAGTTTTGCACAAAATTATGCATTCATTCGAAATAAATAATTTTTTGCAGGAAATTTTGCATAATAACGAAATTTAAGTCAGAATGTTTCATGATATTGCGCATGAATACAGGTCATTTTTGCATGTACAATACCCATGAATACAAAAAAATGTACTTTTTATTCTGCAGTATTGGAATACGAAATTAAGTAATATTTGTTGCATACCGTAGTGCATAAATATGAAAGATTTTATTATTTGGACAGTATGGTGTGAATTAGTTTCAGTAAAAAATAACTTCATGACAGTATTTTATTAATCAACAATAGCTCCATTATTATTATATTCATAATTTAGACAATGTTAAAATGTTGGTTACTTTCTCTAATATAATTTGTTATGATAAACATGTGTTGAAAAAACGCTAAAATGGTGCCACTGGAGTTGCGTCTTAAGTTTACTGACAACAACTTTGTATTGATCTTTATTTGTTTGTCTGTCGGTTTGTTACCTATCTCTGTCAACTAGACCATATATTGTCTGAAATTTTGTGCAATATGTAAGTGTAAGCTAAAAAGATATCAGAAATTTTTTTATTTCATAAAGAACACATTGAAAGAGAAAAAGTTTTGCAAATAGAAAGTAACCAAACCCTTGATCCTTTAGAAAATAAGAGTGTCCAAAAGTAAAGTTATCCAAACTTTTCGCAGATAATTTGCTTCTTATTTTTTGTGCAAAATCTCCCAGCCATACTGAACACTCTCTCATAATCCGTTGAACTTGCCAGAATAGATTTGAGGTTGTCCCTGATCTGTATCAGACGAGTACAGTGTTGTTGTCGGAAAGGAACAAGATTCTGACGATGAACAGATAGGCAACGGAATAACCCTCAAATCAAAATCGATAATGCAGAAAACTCTTTATTTCTGGGGGGGGGGGACCTCCAGATAGTTCCTAGTTACTACTCCTTTCTAAGACTAATCCATTACATATCTAGGCTGGGTAGGAATCTAGAAAGTTCCTTGTAGCTCTTCACACCTTCTCCTTTAAATATATTATATATCTAGGCTGGGAAGGCATCTAGAAAGTTCCTTGTAGCTCCTCACACCTTCTCCTACTCTGCTATCTGTGATGCCTCAAGACATGTTTATATATACAGGAATATTGTGCATTCTCCTTCCAAGAAATGATGAAAAACCGCTTTATTTTTTAGTTTACTTAAATGAAAATTCCAAACCTCAAGTTTAGAAAAATTTACCACTTTTAAAAAAATCTTAAGGTCGTTATTTGTGGAAAATTTTACCTTGACCATTGCTTATATTTCAGTTTGGGAAAGGTTTAATTATAAGAAGTTTTTGAGAGACACAGATAAAGATTGAGATTTGATTTAAGAACATGAAAGACAATACAATATACCCAGGCAACCTAAACCCCTGGAACCCGGACATGAATTAAGAAACCGGAAGTCCGGAACTAAGATCCAGGGCGTGGCTATGCAGCAGGTGGTTACACTAGAGAATAACGAAGAGATCCTGGGGATTAGGGCCACACCCTCCCTCATATTTATCATCACGCCCCATTCTCTGTACAGGATACAAGTCTAATCCATCTCTCGTCATATTACAGTATTTATTTTCACTTTTCTATCGTACTCGCCGAGTCAGTAAATTTCACGACGTGTTTTCCTCTCCGTTTAACGAAATTTTATTTTCAGAGGTAACATGGCGCCTTTTAGATCTCATTACGATTCATTTCTGTTCATGAGAAATAATTCTATTCAACGACGACGGTTTGCGAACGAGCAGGTAAATATATCTACAATGGAATTTTTTAAACGTTCTTTTATCCCGGCTCAGAAATTATTATGAAACGTAGAAGATAGTGAATTAAAACACTTGCCTCAGGCCTAATTTTCTAATCATCGCATGTTTCTAACCTGATAGTGCAAAACTTTTATATATTAAACTTAAGTCATTTGATCTAGCAGTGTTCTTTAAAATATCTTATGTGCACAGATAAAAGCATTAGAAAATTAGTATATGAGGTGAGAAATTAGTTTCTATTGTAGCATTAGAAAATTAGAATATGAGGTGAGAAATTAGTTTTTATTGTAGCATTAGAAAATAAGAATATGAGGTGAGAAATTAGTTTCTATTGTAGCATTAGAAAATTAGAATATGAGGTGAGAAATTATTTTCTATTGTAGCATTAGAACTTTAGAATATGAGGTGAGAATATATTTTCTATTGTAGCATTAGAAAATTAGAATATGAGGTGAGAAATTAGTTTTTATTGTAGCATTAGAAAATTAGAATATGAGGTGAGAAATTAGTTTTTTTGTAGCATTAGAAAATAAGAATATGAGGTGAGAAATTAGTTTCTATTGTAGCATTAGAAAATGAGAAATTAGTTTCTATTGTAGCTTTAGAAAATAAGAATATGAGGTGAGAAATTAGTTTTTTTGTAGCATTAGAAAATAAGAATATGAGGGGAGAAATTAGTTTTTATTGTAGCATTAGAAAATAAGAATATGAGGTGAGAAATTAGTTTCTATTGTAGCATTAGAAAATAAGAATATGAGGGGAGAAATTATTTTCTATTGTAGCATTAGAAAATAAGNTTCTCCTTCTCTTCTCCTTCCCTTCTCCTTCCCTTCTCCATTGTAGCATTAGAAAATAAGAATATGAGGTGAGAAATTAGTTTCTATTGTAGCATTAGAAAATTAGAATATGAGGGGAGAAATTAGTTTTTTGTAATTTCTGGTAAAAAAAAATAAACTTTCAATTTTTTTTCAACTCTTTCAGAAACAAATTCTTCTCAAAAACTCGAACTTTCGAGAGACTTTTGTCATCAGCTTTTTTTGACGCAGGACGGATTATTTTCTGACGATGCAAGAGTAAGTTTACTAAGAAGAGATGCAACGGATCCTGAGGTTCCTGATCCCGTTGCTCCGGCCTGGGCAGGACGGGTTGAGGGATTAAACTATCAGATCTCAAGGTACCAGTCAACACTCATCATTTAACACTACCGGAGTTATAAATTCAAACTGTATCAATAATGGAAAGGGTGAAGATTTAAATGTTCAGGCTTTTTATGTATGGTTAATTGGTTTTGATTGGTGAAAATAATTGATTATTTAACATTAATTTTGCTGCCGGAATAGCCTTGTGAAGTTATTTTAGATACTGTTACTTTTCACGTGTAAATGAATTCCCCCACCCCCCTCAAAGTTTTCCCCTTCGAATCGTTCAAATTTTACCAAAAACTAACAACTAAAATAGCGCCCCCCCCCCCCTCCCAAAAAAGTGCGTATAACTGTCCAGCCAACCGTCCTTGAATATTAAAGTCTGATTGATTGATAGTTTCCTTAAAAGATGATTTGTTTCTAGGGTTGAGAAAAAGGTTGAAGAACTTGATGTTCTCCATAAAACCCATCTCTCCCGACCCAACCTGGATGATGAGGACGGAGAAGAAAGAAATATTCAGAAACTAACTCAGGAAGCTACAACGGTAAGCTCAGATAAACTTTACACTTAACCTCTCTTCTACTGCTAAGGATCCGGATTCATTGGATCGGCAATATTTTTTGCTCTGGATCGGGTCCGCCCAAAACCGGTTTAAAACTGGTTTGAAATTTTTATCCCGGCTTTCAAATTAGTAACTCTGTCTATCCTAGATGTTTACTGGTTGTCAGCGTCAGTTAAAGCAGCTGCAGGAGATGAGTAGAAGAGCAGGAGGGAAGGAGGGAATCATTGTCAGAAATATTGTTATTAATCTAGTCAACAGGAAACTATTCATTATTTAATATTAAGCTGCGCTTTTCCTTTTTTTTCATTTTGACCCTTTCAACCAGGAAAGGACAAATAATTAGTTTTGATTAGACATCTTATTTTCATGGATGATTTGTAAATATCTCGTCGGAAAGCAATACTTTATTTTCCCCAACTCGTATATACTTGATTTCCACCCACCCTTCAATACTTGATTTTCCCCCACTCTTCAATACTTGATTTTCCCCCACCCTTCAATAACTCGTATATACTTGATTTCCACCCACCCTTCAATACTTGATTTTCCCCCACTCTTCAATACTTGATTTTCCCCCACCCTTCAATACTTGATTTTCCCCCACTCTTCAATTCTTGATTTTCCCCCACTCTTCAAAACTTGATTTTCCACCACTCTTCAATATTTGATTTTCCACCACTCTTCAATACTTGATTTAATATGTAGACGTGATTTTCAGTGATGCTTCATTTAAGAGTATCGGTAGCATGTCTAATTTACAAGATGTCTGATCAAGGATGAATGAAATATCCTTTTTTTCTGTCTTTAAATTGAAAATATTTAATTGTGGTTTCTCTGTTATAATGACTTGCGGATTTATGCAGCAAAAACAACGAAGGAAAATGTCGCAGAAATTAACACTTTTTATTATCACGGTCCCGTTGTAAACGTACAGGGTACCGCTGCGAATCGGAATGCCACTCTATAAATGTAGGGTCACTTCAAACCACATTTACACTTAAAGTCTCTTGCAACATAGTTTCATAGATTTATTTTACGATTGTTCCCTCACGAGCTATAATTTGAATAGTTCTTTATATTAGATTGCAAGAAATTACAGGAAAATTTCGAGTTAGCCAAGGAGATTATCTTAGAAGTAAGTTGATGAGTTAGTAAAGATTCGTAATGTTTGCATGAAATTAATGTTTGGAAACCCAAAAAGACACTTAAAGTTTTAACTCGTTTTATTTAATTAATTTGCGCAAAGTAATTTTATGATTGGCCTGCAGTCGAATTTGTAGCGATACTGTACAAAATATTGTTATCGTTCCTTGTTTGGTGAACTCGTAAATAAACAAGGGTATATATTTTCAAAAAATTGGGGGATGGTGATTTTTTTATTTTTGTTGAGAAAAAATGTAAAAATTGGTATCTAAATTATCTTCTTTGATATTTTACCCAAAGGTAATTATTTTTCCCTAGATATCATTTATTTTCCCCAATTAATCGTATAAAACCATTGTAAAAACATAACTAACATCTGGTAATTTTTCTGTCTGCGGGTTTCTTTTACGTCCCGTCTATTTCCGGTTTGTAAAATTCTACCAGACAAACAAGAATACCCGGGAAATTATTTGAATTAAAAGTTTTATCATGTTTTTTGTTGTTGTGAAATTCATTATTTTTTAGGAATAAAAGCGAGAGAGGAAAGATCAGAGCAATATTTTTCCTCTTTTCAAGGTAATATTAAAATTGCAGTTAGTATATGAAATCTACAGGTTTAGTTTTTAATTTCTGAATTTAAACTCGTCTTTTTATAGGAGAGGACGATGACGGTTTATTGATGGACGAACCTGCCCGTGTACCTTGGTCAAAACAGGACTTTATTCAGTTTGAAGAAAATAACAAGTAATTTCATTTACTTCATTTATTGATAGCTTTATCAAACCTTCTGTGTCCGAATTTAATGAATTTGAGCCGCGACTTAAATCTGCCAAAAACCGGTTTCAACTGAGCGCCGGGTTGAATCTTGAAAAATTTAATATAATTTATAGTGGAATCAACCATATTTGAGCCGCGGCTTAAATTCTTTAAATTTGGCCTCTGAACGACTTAAATGCAATAAAAACCTGTTTTCAGATTTTTGAGAAAGCGTGAGGCTGAAATTACTCATATAGTTGAATCAATACAGGATTTAAATACAGTATTCAAGGAACTGGCACAGATGGTGTCCGAACAGGTTTGTTTTTGAACAATAAATCTTACAAAACTAAATATATTGGATCCTTGAATGCGATTATTATATTGACTGGAAATTGATGTATAATTTTATTCATTTTTTTAAGTAAGGGGGGGTTGTAGGTGAAATTAAGTCCTTACCTTGAGGTCCTTATGACTTTTCCCCCACTCTTCATTACTTGATTTAATATGTTGACGTGATTTTAAGTGATGCTCCAAATAAGAGTATCAGTTGCATGTCAAAGGAGTTGAATCTTTGCAACAAACTCAAATTTTCTAAACCTTAGACATTTTTAACTTAGATTATTTGATCTAACACAATTTATAGTTTGAAATATTTAATATGGATGGCAGAGATATTAGGATTAGAACATCAGAGTTTGCGACAAAAACTCAATTCTTTTACATGTCTGATCACGGATGAATGAAATATCCTTTTTTTCTGGACATTTATGGACAAACCTGGGAATAAATGTGTGAACAAATTTCGTAAAAGAAAAGCTAATAATTTTAGAAATCCAAAATTTTCTCATATCCTTAACGATAATGTTTTCCCCGATTATGCTCAAGAGTCTTAAAAGTTTTTTTTTATCACTTCAAATCATTTTTGGGGGAAAAAAGTTAGTTTTTGTTTAAATGAACAATGTTTTGGTTTTATGATGGGTCTACATTGGAAAGGGTTTATAATCGAGCATGCTTTTTTTTCAGAGCGTAGGGAAAAGTCTGGAGGAGGGGGGGGGGGGTTGTTGTTAGGTTAAAAAAATAACTCCCATAAAGATATTTGTTCAATGTTTTCATTTGTTATTACGTTATTAACAGGGTGAGATCGTAGACAGGATAGATTACAATATAGAGTCAGCTGGGTTCAAGGTGGAACAGGGTCTTAAACAATTACAGAAAGCAGAGAAATATCAGGCAAAGGGTTCATTCTATCCGGATAGGAACAATTTAAACTCTGGCTTTTCAAAGTTTATTTATTTGTGTATTGAAACATGGTTATTATTAAGTGCGAACAAGTTTTTGCCGGGATTTTTATATTTTTTTTTGTTGGCTAAGATCAAAAGGAAATCAAAATGAAAATACATTTATTTTAATTGAAACTAACCATAAAAAGTAATAATCAAAGCAAACACTTTTTTGCATGCATCATGATACCAATTACAATAGCAAACATGTTTTAATAAATTTACTCAACTTAATTAATAGCAGGTTGATTAAGTTACTTTATCACCCTGTTGTAGGGTGATAAAGTAAATTTATCCCCTACAACGGGAAAAATTAGGTATGAAATATAAAAATTTAATAGCAGAGTGAAAAAATTACTTTTTTGTCCTGTTGTAATGCGATAAATTCACTAAATCAACCTACAACGGGAAATAATAGGTGTGATAAATTCCCTCAAAATTGAATAAAATTTCTAATGCATTAGATTATGTTGAAGTGTCGATTACAGGGGTGTATATAATTCCATATTTTTTATTCTTTCCCCCTCCCCTCTTAATTTTTTTTGAATTCCTTCCCCAAACTCGACAACTCAAAAGACATAGATTAAACTCTTCTTAGATTTATTATAGTATCGACTAAAAAAATTTACTTATTCTTACTTCTTCCCTTCTCCTTCTCTTCTCCTTCTCTTCTCCTTCCCTTCTCCTTCCCTTCTCCTTCTCTTCTCCTTCCCTTCTCCTTCCCTTCTCTTTCCCTTCTCCTTCCCTTCTCCTTCCCTTTTCCTTCCCTTCTCCTTCCCTTCTCCTTCCCTCCTCCTTCCCTTCTCCTTCCCTTCTTCTTCCCTTCTTCTTCCCTTCTTCTTCCCTTCTTCTTCCCTTCTTCTTTCCTTCCCCTTTCCTTCCCCTTCCCTTCCCCTTCCCCTCTTTTGTGACCTTTGATTTCTTTCCCCACCCAGGGGGGGGGGAAATGGAATTATATACACCCCTGGTCGATTATGATTTAGCTACAAATGCGCCATCTATTAAATTCTCGAATTCAATTCTAAAACAGCGTTCAGCTACCATTGGCCATTGTTTTCAGATTTCTCGTTTTAATTGGATTACAATACTTAGGTTAGAATCTTGATCCAACCACTATGCAATGCACCTTACAGGGATACCATCCCTCAAAGTTTAGTTCAGCGTAAATTCACATAAAAACTTTGACTTTTGTTACGTTTGAAAATGTTATTCTTTCTTACCTTGTATTGATTAAATGGAACTAAAGCTCAAGACTGATTTCTAATTTATTCTAGTTTGATTATTATTATCATTTTAATTTTTCTTCTTATTATTATTATATTTAAAAGTAGAACGTAAAATTTTGTTTAATGTCGGAGAGAATGAACCCTCCAATGACTGCAGAGTAAAAACCGAAAGATGAAATGTATTCTCCTTCTGACTGGTGTATTCATCTTCCTCGTTCTTATTCTCATCATATCTAAATCTTAGACAAACTTGCTTTTTTATTAATTGATTGATTGATTACCTCAATTTTGATATTGTTAATATTATTTAATTAGATTTTACTTAGTTTTTTTGTTGCCTTATGCTAATTATCGAAGTTTATTAAAACAAGGTCTTGAAATTATTGTTGAATTAAACATGTTGGAAAAAAGACGATGATTTCACAACTTTTTTTAAATGAATTAGTATATTATTAGTTCTACACTTTTCATAAAACTTTAATTCTTTTAAAGGCCCAGTTTAAAATTAGCATAATATAAAATTGTCTGTCCAATAGGTTATAGTTCAGAATAGAACCCGGCTGAAAAGATATTAAAAAAAATATTTAGAATGTTTCGTTGTTGATTTTATACCTGTCCCGAGATTTTAAAAGTAGAAACATAAAAGATTTTACGAAAATAACAATCATCAGCTTCTGAAGACTCAAGCCTTAAAGAGGGTAAAACCCAAGAGGGTTGGTTCTTACTAAACTCAAGGCCATCCAAAACCCGGGTCTTTACTTGAGCTTTACTTGGGTCTAAGCAGACGCAAAGACCGGGTTTTAGTCGGGTTTAAGCTTTTAAAATCTCATCTCTGGATACCATGTACTTGGTATAAGCAGTAATTAATCGCTATTCTGAAAGTGCATTGTTGTCCCAACAACAACTTTGCCAAATAAATTTTCTAACCTTTGATATTGATAAATATTGATGAATATTGTGATCAAATAATCTTTTGTAATCTTATTATGTTCATACGCTCTTTATATTCCTCTCATGAAACAGTCAGTTAGGTATATCAACATAATTGAACAGGGGTGTACTCTATTTTACTTCGGTAGTCAACCCCCCC